ACTTATAATTCTATAAGTATTTTATTAGATTTAATATAAAATTTTATATTTAAAACTATAAAAACTATAAAACTATAAAACTATACTATAGTTAATGCTCTGCTAGAGCTCTTATAAATATAGTAGTTTTATATTTTTATAATTTTTTAAAATATTTTATATTAAATCTAATAAAATAGCTATATAAGTAATAATAGTATTATTATATAGCTTATATAGTAGGTTATAAGCTTATAATAAAAGTAAAGCCTTATTATATTTATAAAAGCTATAACTTTAAAAATTACAAAGAAATACAAAAAAAATACACTTATTAAAGCTCTAATAGTATTAGAGCTTTAAATGTAATATAATTTTATAGTTTTTATAGTTTCTAATATAGAAATATAGTTTTTTCGTTATAGCTCTAAATAGTGTCTACTATTTAGAATACATGGGAGACACAGCCAGCGCCCCGTTTCAAGGATTCAAATAGCACACCCAGAGGCTAGAGCCATGCCACCCATGCATGCTCTTTTGCCGGTTTCAAGTACCCTCATCAATGCATGTGCGGCAAATGAAGCGGACAGAAAGCCGAGTTGCCGCAGCCCCACTGCAGCCCACCTTCCGTTCTGTCTCACCAAAATGGGCATGGCCATCCTTATATACTTTACTTTCCGACACCTTCGTCTCATGGGGCTATCGGCCTTCAGGCGTCGTCGTACAATGCTGCTTGCATGCTTTGACTACGTAAATAGATGGGTTCGATTCCCAGCGTGTCTCCTTGTGGTAATTTCTATGTCTATAATATTTGGCCCAGTCAATCCGGTCGAGTCAACAATGGCGCCATATCCCTCGGCATTCGTCGTTTTTGACGACCTCGTCAAAGATCTCTTTGGATCATCACCAACCCTAGAGCTGCTGCATGAAAACGCCGATTACCCATTTGCGCACGAAGCCGGCGTCTTCATTCAGGAAGACAACTCCCTGTTCATCACCAGCAACCAGTTCACGGATCCCAAGACTCAAGACCGTCGTATTCAGATCACCCGCGTTCAGCTTCCTAAAGATGGGGACGGTGGCGTCCAGTGCCAGGAAATCCACCCGGACCAGGTTCCCATGGCCAACGGCGGTGTGAACTACAAGGATGGCATACTCTTCTGTGCTCAGGGAAACCAAGGTGGCCCAGGCGGCCTGGCCTTTATGGAATCGAAGCCGCCGTACAAGTCGCATCTCATGCTCAGCTCGTTCTACGGCCGGGACTTCAACTCGCCAAACGATGTAGTCGTTCACTCGGATGGCTCGATTTGGTTCACAGATCCAATCTACGGCTTTGAACAAGGCATCCGCCCAAAGCCCCGGCTGCCGTGCCAGGTGTACCGATTCGATCCGGACCGGAACGCGGTTCGTGCAGTGGCAGACGGCTTCGGGCGGCCAAACGGCATCTGCTTCAGCCCCGACGAGAAAGTCGTGTACGTCACAGATACAGACTTGATTCACGGGGATGGAACAACTGATGAATTTCGCGCTTCGCACATGTAAGACATGTATACATGCTGTTCCCGACTACATTCCCAGCTCTAGCTAACACGAAATGCTGCCAGCTATGCTTTCGATCTTGTCGACTATTCCGGCCAGCCGTCCCTGACCAACAGGCGCCTGTTCGCCATGGCGGACACTGGCGTCCCCGATGGTATAAAATGCGATGTCCACGGTAACGTTTATAGCGGGTGCGGCGACGGAATCAACATTTGGTCGGCGGGTGGTGTTTTGCTGGGCAAGATCCTCTTGGAGGGCGGAGCTGCCAACTTTTGTTTCGGGCGTGATGGCGAGATGTTCATTTTGAGCGAGCATCGCTTGTGGAGGGCCCAGCTAGCTTCTTCTACAAAGGGGGCATTACTAGGAATCTAGTGCAAAATGCTCTTGTAACAAAAGATTGTCTATTCATGCCTACTTTTGTTCTCCTGAACTCCATGAGCCCTTGCCTGTGTACAAGCCATAGCGCCCTAAAAGGATATCGCGAATAACATTTTTGATCTCTAGCGCCCCGCCCGATGTTTGTTCTTGCCGGATCGTGAAGGGGAAATCGGAGTGGTTCTCTTGTCAAGTTCCCTCCCTCTTCTCCTTGGCCGGTTTCTTCGTTCTGATGCACCTGATCACGCTGTCGTATGAGATGTTGTCGCTGGAGCGACTGTCCCTCTGCGTGGTAATCATGCTTTGGAATGTGTTTCGTAATTCGCCCACGAAGCGTCTCATTCCGGCCTCGGATAACTTCTTCTCCTTCTCTGCTTCTTGTTCAAGAAGGTTGCAAATTGTTTTGGCTAGTTCCTCCCGGCGGGTCTCCTTCGGATCGGGGTCCCCCTTCCATCCGTCCACAACATCTGCGAGCAATTCATCGAGTTGTCGTCTGACGTTGCTGTAGCAGCTGTCAAACTCCTTTAGCTCATGATCCCACCCCATGATATGAAGCTGTTCCTCTGTAAGTTCTAGTGCCGTGAGGGTGAATTTGCTCTTGGGTTGTTGTGATGTGAATGTTGGCAAATGAGTTGAAGTGGTTCCCGAGCCCGTAGTGGTGTCGACAAAACAGGAAAGATTTCGGTATTGCGGGAGAAAGTGGAAGACATTTATCTTGTCCTAATGTCATGTGAAACTCGAAAGAATTAAAGACCAAACATGGGCCTTGAGGACGTCAGCAAAGGCGAGTGAACAATGCGGTGACAATGGCTCATCTCACCAACGATGTAAGCGGAGGTAACATATGAACTGTGCGCTGCCGCCCGGGTATTCTGAATATGTTTCTTTGCTCATGTTCCGCAATGAGCATGACCAGTCACAGGGCCATTCTTCTTCATGTGTCTCCAAGTGATAAGCCGCACCACTTCTACTTGGTAAACAGGCAAATTGCCGCCACTTGCCTTGTCGAGTACTGGCACGAGTGAAGCCATTACCGAGGCTAGAGTGAATAGTTTCGAATACAGGACAAGTCTGTAGTTGCACGTTCATATATTTACACTTGCAAATCCATTGATAGAATAGACACGGCGGTCTAGCTGTCGAGCATGAGTCACTCTGGCCATGATTCACTGAACACACGGCCGTTGCCTAGACCACGTTGCAAACACAATGCGAACAGGACGCTACCATTTTCACATAAGAGAGGGGCCAAACGGATATTGACAACTCCGAAAAAAAAAACCAATCAAGACATGAGCTCAATTAAAAAAAGCGCACAAGGAAAACAAAAATGTTGTGGTTGTGGTTGGCAAAATGCAAAAAGAATGTTCCCGCGGGGGGTCGAACCCCGGACCTTGACATTACTAGCATAGAACCAAAGAAGAATCCTTAGACTATAAGAGTCACGCGGTAACCACTCCGCTACGGGAACGAACGACGCCACTCGTTCCGAGGTCATCTTAATTCGTATTATAAACACTAGCTCAGGCTGACTAATTGATGAACTCGGAAAGGACAGGCGCAATTGTAGTCCAACTTTTAATAAGATTAAAAGGGGTAATCTGAACAAGATCTTCTGCAGGCTTTTAGTTATTTTTATGATACATTCTTTCTGCATTTTCGAGCAAGCTGTCACGCGCGCACAATTGGGGTGGATCCAAGGAACCACGATGCAATTCTAGCGGTGTAGTGGCGATAATGTATAACGGAGAAAGAGCAGCACAGGGAAACATCGAAGCCAGATATTCAAAGCACAATTAATAGATTACCATCTAGCTATGACCCACCAGCTAGACTTCAATGTTGTCAAGTCGCTTTGCCCTCCACTGCAGGACCACCTCAGGGGGGTGGCGCTTGATGCAAAACACTATACTCTCGAGTCTCTAGCACCCATCTTCGTTTTCGTTTGTTTTTGCCAGTCCGAGAGCTGCGCCTTCTTTCGAGGGTTCCTCCACCAAATCAAGGTCGACAATTTCTACCTCCGTGTCTTTGGCGAACTATGCGACATATTTGTTGTCTGAATAGCCGACATTTTCAACGCGATGGATGGAATTCTCTTCCTCGTCGCTAACCAAGTCGATGTAGAAGAACGAAGGGGTAGGGCAATTCGTGTAAGGTGGCTTATCGGCCTTGAAAAATACGGGACTTGGGCTTGTGTAGACTCACCCAGTATGTCCTCCGTTTTATGGAACAGTGTTTTGAAGCCGTTGTCGTTCTTTCCGGTTCTCTTCATCTCTTTGGCTCGCCTCTTGTGTCACACGAAAAAATACCAAAAAACGGGCGTGGCCACGCCACGGTATTTTATGTGTTATACCCCCTTATATCCCTTGCGACATCTTGACGATCAAAACGTCCGTAGTAGCGATGACGCGAACCATCAAAATTACACACGACAACTAAGTTCGAGGGTCTCTTCGTCCATTCACCGTCTTGCGTGAGATGAGGCTGTTGATCAGACATCGTTGCCGGCCGGATTTCGAGGTCGATTAGGATTCAATTCTGGCGTTGTGTGTACTTGTGACTATTGCGTGAGGGGCTCAAGTCGCAGTCGAGAAGCCGGCAGGCCTGTAGCGAAGTTTGTCGACGAGTGAGTACTCGGGGACAGCAATTCTTTGTCGGGAAACGGAGACCCTTTTATATTGCCGGAGATCAGTCACATGCTTATGCACAGCAGGCTTCACTGACGACGCCTGATATCAGGCAACGGCGCATGAAAACCGATTCTGCTTTGATCGGGGGCAAAGTTTGGCCGGTTCACTGGATGTTCGCTCAGAGAAAATTGCTTCATCTCAACCAACGGCCATCACACTCCGGCGACACTGCACAGCCCAGTTCTGAACAGAGCGTACGGAGCTTCGGCTTTCGCGCTTGGGCCACGGTAGGTGTCAAGATTCTTCGGGACGACTGGAACAAAGCACCAGAACACGATCAAGCTGTGTTTCACACCTCGGCAGGGAACATGATCCATAGAGACGGGGCGAGCGTATCCTTGTCACCTTTGACCGAGTTGCATTTATCCATACTATCAACGAACACCATCGGTACTCGAAGTGTGCTTGGCATATTACGTGGTGATGCACCCTGGCCTTGCCACCAGAAAAGAGTGTGAGGGTGACACAAAAGTTTGCAGTCCGTCTGAACCCTTCGCCCTTTCAGTCGCGTGGCTGACCACGGATGATGTGTCGCTCAAGATGAAGGTGAAGTCAGGGAAGATAGGTCGGGATGCTGTACCCGTATCCAACGGTGGCGCCTGTGCTTCACAGATATACTTTATGGCGTATACACCTAGCATATCGTTTTCTGTTAGCTTTGTGTTCGCCATTGCATTGATTCGCATAGCCCCATTTGCTTAGGGGTAAAACTTGAGCTTGTTGGCCAAGTAGAGACCAGCATGGACAGGAGCCTTCAACCGGGTTTGTCACAATTTGCGACTACGGGTCGAATTGAACAGCAGATTGATACAGGTTTTTAAGTTGGCTAGCTGGCTTCCAGTTTGGAACTTACAAGCCGGATTGAACTTAGTAGGCATAGGCCAGACTTATTTATAAAAAGGGCCGAGTAGGTGGCTCCCTCGTCGGCATGGACATATTTATGCCCAAGGAGACCAAATATGCTCAATTCATTCTTTTCAACTGATTGAAACCGAATATTCCACCTCTTACTGTGGCTGACGACAGTCTCGCCTTGTGTGTGCTCTTTGCCCAAGGCGAACAAAACGCTTCTCACGATGGCTTACAATCCTCCCAAACGCACGCCAGATCCATTGTCCATACCCGAGATCGTTGCAAATATTATCAACAACGTCGGCCATGTTCCAGATCTTTTGAATTGCGCCTGCGTCGGCAGGATTTGGAATGCGGAAGCGTTGAGGCGGCTCTATGAAGGATCTGTGCATGACATGCGATTCCGTACACCTGACACGAGCTCACTTAATTGTCTGCTCGTGGCATCACGGGAACGCTTCGCCCGAAATATGAGCTTTGTGAGGCACCTTTTGGTCTGTCCAGAAACACACGAAGACGATGGTTCCGGTAGGGCAAGTCGAGCGGCATGCTTTGAGAATTGCCGTGCGACGCGCAACCGCCGACTCATTAAGCTGCTCCTTCAGCCTCGAGGAAGGCGTCTTACCAGTCTCGCCATCCCGTTCGAGTTCATGCGCCAAGACTGGTCCTTGCTTGCGGACCTCCTTCCGGCTCCCAACGTTGAGTTCTTGGCTATTAATCATTGCTATTGCCGAGTCGTTACGTCTCGGATTACTTCTGCCGTGAGTTTGATTCGAGTCGGTTTTTCGCTCCCGCAAGGTCATGGCTAATAACAGCAGGATAAACTTTCAAATCTCAAAGCTCTTACCGTCTACACATCCAAATTCGACGTCGACTTTGACAGTCTGTGTAAATTGTTAGACATGTGTAGTCTACAATTCTTCCATTCCGAGGTCTCCAACGGAACAAGCAACGTAACCCTATCTGATGCGGCGAGGTTACTTGAACGCGTTCGGCGGCATAGAAATCTCGAGGCGTTGGTACTGAATATGATCCATTGCGCCAGTATGATTCCAAGACCTGCATATGAGGCTTTGGAGGCAGAAGACCAGCAAAGTCTCTGGCCAAAGCTGAAGTTGTTGCACCTCGCAAATTGCAACCAATATTGGCTGAGAGAGCTGCCGAAATTCAAGGAGCTAAGAGCTGTTCACTTGGGGCGGCCTGTGCCATATACCGCTGGTATGAGCAAACGTATAGGCGAAGCTATTGTGCAGTGCCGGCATCTACAAGACATCATGCTTGATTTCTGGAAGCTCGAAGATTTAGATGTCATCCTTGGGATTGCTCGCGGCTGTCCGCTTTTACGGGGTGTCACTATTAGACTTGACGACTTTAGGGAGGTGCCCAAGCTTACGAAAAGCTTCTTGTTCAACCTGTTACGCGCCCTTCCTCTACTAGAGCTCCTTGACATTTTTTATCACGGTTCAATTTTGAGTTTAGACGGGTCAGCCCTCAGAGACATTGCACTTTACTGCCCGCGGTTGAAAGTCCTTTTGCTGCCTTGGGTTAGATTATGCCTCTCTTACTCGAAAATGACCCAGTACTATCCACAACAGCGATTGGAGGCCATGGAATTCATGGGAGTTTGGTTGAGGGGTCGTCGGCAGTCAATGGAGCGGAATAAGATTCTGACGGAGTGGCGCAGAATATTTCCCAGGCTGCGAGCGATGCCGTGCGAAATGGTATCTATGCGTTTCGGCTTACGTACGTCCTTCTTTTGTCATGTCGGGCATGATGCGACTAGAGCGTCAACAGAGAATGAGTCCGATTATAGTGCCGATGAGGACATGACCCTTAATGAGCAAGGGGGTTGTATTCTTGGCTGCAGCCCTGACTGGGAGACCGTCCATGAAGATTTTCTTGCTGCTCTTGGTTATAAGGAAGAGGATACCTTCGAAATACATGGTAGGATAGGGCAAATGTGGCGAAGTAATATCGAGGTTGAGCTGGTTGGTTGGCCAATGGTGCCTTTGGAGTCATTCGTCTACCCAAAAAGGCAGTCCTCAATTCCTTGAGGTATGGAGGATACCAGGAGTGTATTTGGATGTACTTTACACATCTGGTCACACTGTCATCAGAATACTTGTGTGTGGCTACTGTTCAACTCGTCTCCTATCTTTCGGCGTTGATAGCCAAGTCAGCCGCAACCATGTAAAATGAAAACCATGTAAAATGAAGACTCTACTTTATTTGACTAGCCCTGGACTTGAAAGGCCCTACGTATAAGCTTGCGGTAAATCCCATTAGCATACTGTGAACTGGCAGCATTTCTGGCAAGCACACAGGGGCGTTGCAAAAAAACCAAAGCTCAGGCGTCTCCTTCTGCTGTAGCAGTCACAGCAGGTCAAGTGGTATAATTAAATCCTATCACAGTAGACGTCTGGTAGCACAGTCTCTCAAACACGTTCGTTTGTCCCATCGGTACGACCGACATGTTCAACCGTAGCCAGTGCCATCGACTTTTCTCCCACAGACTCGATTACATCATCTCCTGCAAACAAACGATCAACATCTTCCAGTTCCAGCCCTTTAGTCTCTGGGAAGAAGAAGAAAATGATTGGCACCCAAGTCGCGTTGAGAATGGCGAAGATGATGTATGTCTTCCAGCCGATATTCTCAATGGCAATAGGCGTAATTCGCACAACCATCTGCCGGTTGTATTAGCAAATGCTAAAACCTATTTTGCTTTCACTAAGCTTTGTCACACAGTACTCACGTAATTGAAGATCCAATTTGCCGCAGTAGAAATAGAAGATCCCTTCTGACGCAACCGAAGGGGAAGAATCTCGGATCTAAGGATGGTCAGTCGCCTAACTTGTGATACCGTCATGAGTGTACTCACGGATATACCCAGACCGTGGCCTGGAATCCAATCGTGAATGCGCCTTGAAATACAAAAAGCATAACCGCAGCACCAATGCCTGCTGAATGAGAAATATTTGTCTCATTCTCCACCTGGTAGATGAGGCCGGCTTGCACAGCCATGGCGGCTGCCATCAAGCTAATCATTGACACGAATTGCATAGAGTCAGATATTTTGTTGACTGTAGCAATGTAAACTGCGACATACCAACGGCTTTCGTCCAATTCTGTCAATCAAGAACCACGGGATAAAGGATGCCACAAAGAACCAGGTCTGTAGAAAACCAGACATGAGTGCTGACATTCTCTCATCAAAGCCAATGCTCTTGGAAAACAGCGTGGTTGTATAGTCTAGATGAACAAATTAGGAACCCGGACAGGGCCATTCTTGACTGATATTTTCAGAGGACTTACAGATGACCGCATTGATTCCACCAAGCTGCTCGAAAGCTTGAATAGCGCAAGCAATCAGCAACCGAGTCTGGGACTTGACACGATCATTTGACAACAAGTCCTTCCACGACCCTGTACCAATGGAAGCCTCAAAGGCGACAACTTGCAAAATATTATCATGTAGCCTCTGCACCTCGACGTCGTTGATGGAGGCGGATTTCATTCTAGCGAGAACCCGGAGACGATCATCAGGCCGGTCGTGAGATGCCAGCCACCTCGGCGTCTCCGGGAAAAGCATCAAGATTCCCATCACTGGTAGGATGCAGGCGCATTGCAGAATAACCGGGACCCGCCAAGCGTAGCTGCTCATGTGGGAGGAGAATGCGTAATCGACCCAGTACACGAGGAAGATGCCAAAGTTGAGGGTTGACAACTGAGCGCAGACATCTACACAAATGATGAGTCTTTTGTCCTGGTTTTTCGGCAACTGATGAGACTAACAGACTCCCCGAGTGGCCTTGGGCCTAAACTCGGCTTGTAAAACAGGAACTGTCGAGTTGATGATGCCCAGCCCGATGCCGGACACGATTCGGCCGACATGAGCTGGGCTCTACCATTAGAGGATGCCTGCAAGACGGCACCGACAATCATGATCCAGCAACCATGTCCAATGGTCGATCTGCGGCCGAGTCTTTCGCCAAATATGGCCGAGAGGATTGAACCGAGGAAGCATCCCACTAGTTAATGCATGTCAGTTGCTGCTCCTAACGTATGAGCCGCCTTCCCCTAAAGATTTTGTACAATGGCTGACCTTCGAAAATGGCAACAATGACTCCAATCATCTTGGAGCCCGGGTAATTGAACGAACTGCCAAAGGCGGGAGAGTTGACTATTGCACATCAGTTGGCCGCCACGGGACTGTGCAATGCTCTGAACTTTGAAGCATCATTTTCGCCCCCGGGACTCGCCCAGTCCGCCCATGAGGCCATTGTCGTATCCAATCAACATGAACCCCAGAGATGTCAACGCCCTCACAGTGAGCAAAAGAGCTCGGCCCTCCGGCTCTGGCACAGCCATGGTTGAAAACGAGAAGGGATGGAACAGTTCCAAAAAAAGAGGTCTAGTAAAAGGTCCAGGACTATCTAGGAAGGTATTTTGCTAAAAAAAAAAAAAAAAAATGAAATACTCCAACAATCTTTATGCAGGAAGAGAATTCCGCGGCTTCTACACAGGATTCCATTGCATATGCACAAGCATACATGTTTATGCCGGCATGGCAAAACGTATGAGATTTTGTGGAGAATCCGGGGCACCCACGATCTCGCTTCTCCAGAGTCCAAAGACGCTTGGGTCGCGTGGACGGTGGGGCCCAGCCATGTTCAAATGCCGCGCCAAAAGCCGTCGGCTACCAATACCACAGCCTCTACGTAATGGGCCGATCATTGGCAAAATGACTTGGATTAACTCTTCTTAGCGGCTATTTGCCGGAATCATGTATCTTCTTCGCTGCATGGGCGCGGACCGAGACTCTGCGCTGCGTTTTCCGCGGACCCATTTACCGAGTCTCAGACCATGACGAGACCCGTGCCCGAACTGAAAATCCAGGGACTGGTTTCAATGTTATGTTCTTGTTTTTTGCGCCTTCCTGTGGTCAGCCACATACTGGAGATTCACAAGTGAGACTTTCCTTGCAGCTGCAATGACTGTGTATCATCTCCAATCGGTGGACAACGACCTTCGGGGCCGGCTGGCCCTGGTTACCGGATCAAGGTGCGTGAAGAGTGCTGGCAATTACTCAACGTTGTCGAGCTAACAGGTCATGGCCGTCCCGTCAGTGGTGGTATCGGTTCGGCGTGTGCAAAGACATTGGCGTCCGAAGGCTGCGATGTTGTGCTTCACTACTCTGCAAGCAAAGTGAGTTTGCCCAACGGATGAAAAACCAGGAGGAGGAGGGGGGGGCAGAGGGAGAAGAGAGACGTGTATGTACCATCTGACCACCGACGTCGCAGGAGAAATCGGAATCTCTAGCTTCTGAACTACAAAAATGCTACCCATCACAAGTATTCGTCACCGCCCAAGCCGACCTCACGGATCGAGAGTCCACGCGGTCGCTCGTCTCCAGAATCCTTTCCAATCCGGTCGTCTCAGAGAAGCACAAGGCTATATCTGTATTGGTCGCAAATGCCGGGCTTGGGCGCCGCATCAGGGACGTCAAGGACATTGGGGAGCAAGATTGGGACGAAATGATGGAGGTCAATATCCGGAGTCAGTTCGTCGTAACCAAGTCCTGTGTGGAGGGAATGCGCGCACAGGAATGGGGAAGGGTTATTCTCGTGGGCAGCATCGCGAGTCGAGGGAGTGGACTCAATGGATGCCATTACGCAGCTTCAAAGGGAGCCCTGTCGTGAGTAGTCCATCGATACGGACTGTTGGAGTGTGGTGTTCTATCCTTGTGTCTAATAGCTGGACAGCTCTATGGGGTTAAACTTGGCCACTCTGCTCGCACCAGACGGCGTTACCGTCAATGTGGTAAGCTATCACTATTTATTATTTACACATGCGTGAGGTTGCCTTTCGCATACGCTGAAATATGATGCTAGGTTTCGCCAGCCATGATCGGATCAACAGGCATGATTCCAACGCCAAAGGAACGGTAGGCGCTTACGGCTGAACATTAATCTGCATTTCTCAGTGGCTAATATTCTGGTTCTGTAGGACGTGGGTTTCAGGTGTCAACGTAGAGGCATTGAAAGAATCAGATCCCGGCCTGGCCATTGCCAGCAGCGTGCCAGTGCATCGACTGGGAGCTCCAGAAGAAGTAGCAAACGTGGTGGCAATGTAAGCTTCTTGATAGCACCCGAATCCGAACGCGGCCCCCAAGGCTAACTGCTAGACAAGGTTCGCAAAGACGGGATACATGACCGGGCAGGACATATTGTTAACCGGCGGTTTACGATAGTGTATGGGATTAGGACAATTAAAAGATACATGTATGTCTGGTGGCACGGCTCGGGTCGAGTAGAGGCAAATGTCTTCATTCCTAAATGCGTTACTATCATGTTAAATCAATGAGATTATCTATGTCTATGGTATGATGGCGACTCTGCGTAATCTGCCCTCAAATCGGTCACAACCGCTGGTTCTTATACCTTGGCCACAACGGGCTTCTGCTCAGACACTTGCGTAAGTAGCTTTCCCTGTGTCACGGCACTCTTCACATTGTCAATGACGAGGACCTCCATTTCTTTCTATATTCCCAATTGTCAGCAAAAGTCTCTTTCGTAGCATTAATGGAAGAGACACCAACCTGTGTATCAATAGTGGCAGTACCAATATGGGGTAGCAAAACGGCACCGGGGTGCTTGATCAGCTTTGGGTTGATTTCTGGCTCCTTCGCATACACGTCCAAGCCCACGCTCCAGACCTTGCCAGATTCCAGGCTGTCTGCGAGGGCCTCCTCGTCAATAATGGCGCCTCTAGCCGTGTTTACAATGATGACTCCATCCTTCATTTGGCTGAATTCCTTGGTTCCAATTAGTCCCTGGGTGGCAGGGCCCAGCGGCAAATGCACCGAGATGACGTCGCTGGTCTTGAGCAGCTCTTCAAAGCTGACATAGTTGGGGACTTGGCCGGGGGCGAACTTCTTCTCCAGGTCGGCCACGGGCTTCCTGTTGTGATACTGCAGCCTGAATCCGAGAGCAGCGGCTCGCTGTGCTGTGGCAGTTCCAATGCCGCCCATTCCAAGCAGGCCCAGGGTCAAGTGGTGAGGATCACGGCCGAGAGGGCTGGCACCTCGCCACTTGCCCTCGCGCAGAGCTTGCTGAGGGATCCATGCGCGACGCAAAGCACCGAGTATCAGGAAAATTGCGGTGTTTGCGGTGGCGGCATCGACGGCCTTGGGCGTGTTGGAGACGGAAATGTCTGCAGAGTGGCAGGTCAGTGAAGGGGGCTCTCTCGAAGCTACGCTCATCTGTGCACGCAGGCCTTACTCTTGTCGGTGCAGGGCTGGACGTCAATCTGATCATAACCAGCGCCATTGTGTGAGATGAATTTTACAGAGGAGGGAAGGTGAGAAATGAGCTCAGCGTCGAATCGCCCGGTTATCTGCCACCACTTGTTAGACTTTGCAGCATCCAGAAGAGAAGCTAAGCGTACTTGGACAGAGTCGTAGGTTCTGGAAATTGCAACGACATTGTCATACTTGCCGCTGTCGCAGTCGCGAATAAACTCTTCCCGAGTACCGGAGGTGACTTGCTAAAGATTTGCAACCCGCGCGTAAGAACGATTGTCATACCCAAAGTGGAAAATTTTTTTTTTCTTTTTTTGGAGGGTGGTGTCGGCGTACCTGAACATCAGCGATGTCGGAAAGCTTCTCGAACTCAGCCTTTGCGTGGTGGACGATGCCAAGCATCAGGACTCCGGGTTTCGGGACTGCTGAACCTGCCATTTTATCCGAGTGGGAAGGGCTAAATGTCAGGTATTCTTGTATTAGGAATATGGTCGGTTTTGAAACACGGCTGGTTTAGAAAAAAGAAAGAAGAAAAGGAATTTTAAAAAGCGACTGAAATGACCAAGAAGTGACGGAATTGGCGGGGACATGACTGGTGGGAATGACAGGATCATCAATTGACCAAAGATACCAACGTGGGGGGTTCCTCGGACGCATTTGCCGGCAAAGGTCGCTCCAAAGAGGGACCACGACGAGGGCGTAAAAAAAACGATTGACCGAGTTCGCCACGGCAGCGCTCAGCGCCATCGCGAGCTAAAACAACCGGTGCATGGATTTGACGAATCCATGACCCCGTCCTGGTGTGGATCAATATGTCCCCGGCTATTGACCCCATCCCCACTTCTGCGGCCAGTTCCCCGCGACTTCAAAACAGCCCAGCAAAACTATGTCCGTCACCCTTCCTACCACGGCATTTGAGTCAACTTAAAGACTCCATCGCCCGTTGATATCGTCATTTTAGCCAATGGACTCACAGCCGATGCAGTCGCCGATACCAGGCATGCCCCGATCAAAGGCCAAACGGGTCTCCCGTGCCTGTCTCTCCTGCCGCACGCGCAAGACAAGATGTGACCTGTGAGCAGAACATTTTTTTCCGCTTTACGCGCGAGGGGTGACACAGCCCCTCGTCGAGGCGTGCCGTCGCCTACTGACGCTTATTGGAACCAGTGATTCAGAGGGCATGTCTGGCTTGCCCCCATGTCGCCGCTGCGTTGAACAGCAGCTCGAATGCGTACTTGCAAAGTCGAGGCGTGGAGGCCGCAGGATCAAAGGTGTTCGTAACTCTGCCGTTCAGCCGCAGCCGCCGCCCAGGCGCGACAGCGATCTTGGCCGGTCATCAAACCCTCGTGGCCCTGCCAGCTCTACGCATGACGATGACGAGAGTGATTATCACAGCACTCAAGGGAGTCAAGCTCGTCCTGCACAACGGCCGGCCGGCACCGATGCTGTGCAAGGATGGCCGTCCTCTCCACCTCATACCGGCAACTGGCGAGCAGACAGCCCCGATGCCGGATCCGCACAGGAAATGGCAGATTCGAGGACAAGTTCAGATGGATTAGAAGGCCATATAGCCACTACAGACCTTTTGAATCCCTCTGATGCTCTTGATCTGCTTGCCCAAGTTGCCGACTTGGATCCGGGCAGGCAGCGTATCACGTCGACTGGCCAACCTGGCCAGAGCAACAGACATGTCGACGGAATGCAACAGACTGTCGGTAGATCAGCTACCAGCTATTACCCTCCTCTTCATGATGGTATTCTGACGCCTTCGGACGCGTCATATCTTGTAAAGAAGTAAGTTGCCTTTTGGTCGTACATAACACACACACATGTTCGCCTGCTTACACGTTACTGCCTTTAGGTACCATGAGAAGTTCCATCCCTTCTTCCCTGTGGCATTCGCCAACATATTTGAAGAAGGACCCATTTCCGAATGGGCAGAGAAGGAGCCTCATCTCTTGACAGCTATCCTCACTGTGGCATCTAAAGATGATCCTTCCTGGTTCAGAGTGTACGACGCATGCTCCCGACACATTGAAAGCTTCATGTCGACCCTGATCTATGCAGGATCAAACTCAGTAGGGTCAGTAGAGGCATTGCTCATCCTTGCTGAATGGGCACCACAACGCCCACAGGAAAATTCTGCCATCGGCTGTGGACAAGAAGACCACGGTGCTTGGATGCTGGTTGGCCTGGCCATTAGGCTGGGTTACTTGCAGAGACTTGAACAGACGGCTCTACTACCGGATGATCAAAAGCCTTCCCTGGAAGTCAGCAGAAAGCGTGTGGCTTGGGCAGGTATGTCACCCGTGCCCTTGACTTTGTGCCATCAACAGGGCGAGCTGCTAACGAGGTTCCAGCTTGCTACATGAGCGACCGACAAGTCTCCATTCGACTCGGCAAAGGCTTTTGGTCACGCGGTCCAGGCCCCTCTCTACATCTCCGAGCCGCAGACTTCCCAACTCTGTATGCCCAAGCGCTTGGCCCGGATAATATGGGACTATTATTCCAAGCACACCTTGAACTTACACAGCTGATTAGCAATGCTCACGACATTCTCTACTCATCCACCAGTCATAGGAAGCAGCTGTATGTAGGCGGAGAATATGTCAGATATATCGTAAGTCAACGAGTGCCAAGAGAAGCTGAGCAGATTACTCACGTACCCAAAGGATGACTTTGCTCAAATGGTCCGGAAATGGAAGCTCACGTGGGCAAATCACAGCTGTAAGTTTTGTTATTTCACGTTTGTCTTGGACAGCTAACTGATCTTTTTTTTTTCAACAGTCACACCGCCCGTAAAGGCGTCGTTGGTCTTGTCATTTGAATTCTTGCGCCTTTACATCAACGCATTTGCCTTCCAAGCCAATTTGAACCGAGCAGCAGCCCGAAACGCTCAGGTCGGGCCAGGAAAGGCTAGCGGACCGCTGTTTTCCAATGTCGCTGGAAAACCAGACGCACGTTTCATATACGAGTCGATTGACGCGGCAAACTCGCTGCTCAGTATTCTGAACAGCTTCATAGACCCTGTGGCAGGGCTGAAATGCATGCCTCTCAAGTATTGCCTCTACGTCATCTATGCGGCCGTGTTTCTATTCAAGGCAAGCCTTCAGCATCCCTCCAGACTATGAACCAATATTCTAATATCATTCGCAGGCCAGGTTAGCAGGGGCTATAAGTAGCGAGGGCGACCGTGGAGTGCGACGTGCAATCCACGGCACCATTACACAGTTACAGAAAACATCCAACAATCCTCAGAGCCTCGGCAGAAGATATGCCACGTCACTGCGACTGCTCTGGAGGAAGTCGACTGCAAAGCCGTCTACCAAGGGTGCTACCCGCAGTGACCCGGTAAGCGAGGCACCAGACCTGGCAATGAGCCAATTGGAAGGGCAAGAGAATATTGTGCCATCGGCGACGAGCAAATCCGCCATGGACATGGATCCGTTGAGCGGGTTCTCGTGGAGGGACTTGGACTCGCTGGGACAGTTTATAGCGAGCAACACGACAATGAATATGACTGATGGGATACTTGCGGGTACAGACTTTGATTGGGAGCACAGCTCGGGAGGACTTGATGATCTTGCGATGCGACCACAGTTTGACACGATGTGGGCGGGGCATGACATTATTTTCTAAGAGAATCGGTATAGGTACGTTATCGGAGTAGGGTTTGGTATCAGCGGTTTTTCGTCGGATGGATACGGTCTCTTTGTCATGTCCAAATTGTTGTAATATATACGACGAACAATATACGAATGCCTTGGTCATAAAAAACATGGTATCTTTGGGCCAATTTACCCCGTAGCTAAAGCTAAATGTCAAGTTCGCCGACCGCACGGCCAAGCCAAGGCCTGTCACAAAAGAAAATCATGTCGGCAATTGCCGCAGCGGCGGGGGTTGAAGCAAGGCCCCACACCCACTGTCGTTGCGATTGATGAAGATTCATGTCAAACCATTTATATAGCTCATTAAGAACCTCCATTCCAACAACTACCCAGTGGAGCCTCAGCACCACTACTTCTCCGGGTAGTCTAGTTGGTTTATGGCGTCTGACTGTAATTGGTACACAACAGCTCAATCAGAATGTCGCGTGTTCGAATCACGCCCTGGAGACTTTTTTGATGGTGTTTTTTTTTTTGCTGGTGCTGGCTGTGGCGGGGCAGATATTATGTTTCGCTGTATTGCTTTAGGCCAACTCTTTTCTTTTACTCCTCTCTTCGCCAGCGTAGTAAGCAAGGGTGGAGTATCTTCCTCTTTTTTACCCTTTTTTCACTCCTGTCCGAGGCCTACTGACCTTGGCCGTGGCCGTGTTCCATTCTCTGTCTTTATGGGTTGATCCTGCCACCACGCCCATTCGTGCATAAAATATCATGAAGGAATATACAGTACCATAGGCTCTGGTACGCGGCATTCACGCACACCTTACTTCTCGACGCATCCATCTCGGCCATATATGCCAGCACCCCACGAAATCTTCCCAGAGCATTACTAAATGGAAATCCATAGGCTAAATTTCAACCCCCTGAAGCCCGTGCGGTCTGGGAATTTTTATTCCGCTCAAACCTGACAAAACTAGGTCTCGGGTAGCCACCCGCGCACCACAGACCTTGGCTCTCCCCGCATCAGTGATAAGCATCGACCCTCTATCACAGTCTGGTGCTTTCAATTTCAACCTCCCACCTCACCATGACGTGGAATCCACCGACTAAGAGAAAACGCCGTGTGACTCGTCTGCCCGTCAGCGTCTGTCGACAAACAAGATTCCGGGGAAAAGGCCACTCAACCCCACAATTTCCCCGGCGCCACGAGGATGAGAAAGGTATTTGCAGACGTGTAGATGAAGTCTGGTTAGTTTTCTCCGCTGCGAGCTGCACATGGACAAACGGACCGACTGCAAGTTGTTGCGGATTACTGGGTGGCGCCTGGGGTGGTTTGTCAATCACCTGGCAGTCGATCTTCACCAGCCGTCATTGTTAAGCAACGTCTGGACTGGCCACGCGGCACGAACTCTAGAGAAACCTTATATACTAAAGCCGTGGCAATGATCCATTTGAATAGAATTGCTCGGATTATCGCTAGGTAGATGAAAGTATAGAAGCGACGTTTTGCCTAAGAAGAGGTGGCAAGATGCGGCCTTGCACACTCGCCCTGTTGGCTCTCGCAGCTCTTGCATCATCATCATCAGCATCATCATGCCAACCTCGCACCCAGCATCTTAGTGACCCCCCTTACGAAAATTACTTCTACTCCGACTGCAGTGTCGACGCGCAAGCCGTCGTCACCAGTCCCCTTCCCGACAGTAACCTCAGCATCATCGGACCGCGTCTCATCGTCGCGTTCCCCGCTGGGAACAGCGGCATCTGTACGTTTTTCCAGCCGCACAAGGACAAGAATGGCACGCTGGCGGTTGCGCTCGTCAATTCGACCTTTGGAGCGCCCCTCGGCGCAGTCGCACCCCAGAAGAATGCCACGTCCAAGCATCCCCATGTCGGGGTGCAAGGCATCCTGTCGTTTAACAACTCGGCCGAGATGGCGCTGGCTATCCTCGGCAGCGTCCGAAACATCCGCGACTTCACCGAGGGACCAAGTCTTTTGAGTCCCGTCATTCAGGACGCCGTCAAGGTGGCCAGGTACAACGGCACGGGGGTGCAGCTGTCGCGGCTGTGGCTGGACAACGTCACGACAACGACGCTCACCCTGGTCCCCTGGCGGAACGACAACGCCAACATCAGCATCTCCAACAGGACCGTCGCCTTTGGCTCCGGCTTCTACCACTTCTCCACGACCTTCAACTACCCGCAGCTCCAGCAGCTCAAGCCCAGGCAGATCCTGAACAGCCAGTCGCAGGGCCTCATCCAGCGGGATCCGGGCCAGGTGAGCTCGCTGTCGTTCTTCTCCTACACGGAGAAGCTGCTCGCCGGGGGCTGGCGCTTCCTCACCTACTTTGGCCGCGACAGCCTCATATCCGCGCTGCTCCTGCAGCCCGTTCTCAGCACGGGCAACGGGTCGGCAATGGAGGCCGTCATCGGCGCCGCCCTGGAGCGCATCAACCGCACCGACGGCTCGGTATGCCACGAGGAGACCATCGGCGACTACGCCACGTTTCTCAACAGGCAGAGGAACCTCTCCTCCACAGCCGCCGGCTTCACGTACCCCATGATCGACACCGACTACTACCTCCCCATTGCCATGGAAAAGTACTTCCAGGCGCAGCCGCGGCGGATCCAGCCCCTCCTGGCGACGCGGGCTGGTGCCGTCGACGCCGACAACAAGAACCTCACCTGGGGGCAGCTGGCGTACATTGGTGCCCAGAAGATCATGGACATAACCGCTGCGTTTGAGAAGAACCAGTCTGTCGCGAACCTGATCCATCTCAAACAGGGCGAAGTCGTCGGACAATGGCGCGACTCGACACACGGCATTGCCAACGCCCGCATCCCATTCGACGTGAACTGCGCCCTGGCCCCGGCAGCATTGTACTCGATCTCCCGGCTGGCCGGCATGGACGGCGTGTATCCAAACACCTCCGTCACCTCGGGCTGGGCCGACGCGGCGGCTCGGCGGGCACGAGTCTGGGAGGCCGAAACCCTCCGCTTCTTCCAGTACAACACCACGCTGGACACTGCGCGGTCCAGGCTGGCAGAATACACGGCCAAGAACACCTTCTACAAGGGTCCCACCAACGCCGACTCCCTGGGCAAGTATTCCTCGGCCGGACTCATCGTCGACTACGGCCTCGCCGTCAACAGCTCCTCGGCGCCGGACGTCATCCCCATCAGCCACACCGACACGGGGTTCAGGCACTTCCTCCTCAACGCCACCGACGACGACGACGACGGGCAGCTGACAACCTTTATCAACGCGTCGGCGAATGCCATTCTGCGCCCCTTCCCCGCGGGGCTGACCACCCCCGTCGGCGCCGTCGTCGCCAACCCTGCGCTGTCGGGCCAGGACGTCCTCATTGCCAACTTTACAAACTCTGCGTACCACGGGACCGTCGTCTGGAGCTGGCAGCTCGCGCTCATGGCCAAGGGCTTCGAGAGGCAGCTCGGGCGGTGCGGCAACTCGACGTCAGGCGGTTCGCCGGGCTTCTGCAGGGACAAGGCCGTGTTTGCGGCGCTGAAGGGCGCGTACAACCGCCTGTGGGACGTGATTGAGGACAACGAGGAGCAGCTGCAGTCCGAGGTATGGAGCTGGACGTTTGGCGGAGCCAGCAACGGGACCGGCGGAGCGTACAAGTTTTCGCCGTTGGGCGTGCTGCCGCCGCCGCCGGGTGTCAGTGCCGGGACGGAGAGCGATGTGAGGCAGCTGTGGAGTTTGATGTTTCTCGCCGTCGAGAGGAACAAGGAGTATCAGTAGGGCGGGAACCATTCATGAACTTTTGTTGCTTGGGTATATATATAGGTCCCGCTTTCACCATTGTAGTTTGAGACGCGTGCAAAACGAAAGAAAAAAAAAGCTCTAGATGTTTTTCTTTTTTTTTTCCAAGTGGCAGTGCAGCACTGCACCGTACGCTAATAAATGTAGATAAACTCATCGTTCTCACGGTCCGTGAGATCCAAAAAAGCCTTCTCTCCTGTGCGCGCCTCGCCAGCAAATTCCACAGTTCCGGCTGCAGTCTCGACGGCGTCCCCGCTCTCCTCGCCCATGGCGTGGTATGTGGATTGCATCGAATGATCAACCATCTTGGCCTTCTTTCCATTTCGAACACGCTTCTTCTCCTGGAGCCTGTTGAGCAGGATCAAGTTTGCCCACTGGACGAGGACAACGGCCACGAGCGCCACGAAGATGCCCAGACAGGCCCGGAGGCCGGGCTTGTAGGTGGGCGCGTCCCTGTCGTTGAAGAGGAGTGGGCCGATGATGTTGCCGGCTGAGCTGGCGGCGTTGTACACGCTCATGATGGCCGACTTTTTGGTGGTGCCGGCCGTGTTGCCGACAATCCAGGTCACGATGAGCGGGTTCCCGCCAAAGAGGAATGCAAGAAGGTAGTACCCGACCAACAGGGCGGGCTCGGCGGATTGGTCGCGGGGGACGGAGTAGAGGACGGCCAAGCCGGCTACGACGGGGAGCATGAACACCATCAAAACGGCCCCCTTGAGACGCGCCTTTTGCGCCAAGAAACTGGCCAGCAAGATGACGATGACCTGCACTGCACCGAAGGGCATGTTGAGCAGACTGGTCATGTACTTGTCGGAAACCAGGCCGTTGAGAATAAGGGGACCGAACGTGTTGGTGACGCTGGCGCCAACGTTTAGCAGCAGCGCCATGGCGATCCAGAGGTAGGTTTTGGGCTCCAGGGCGGCCTCGAGAAGGTGTTGCCACTTGAACTCGCGGGAGCCAGTACCGGTCTGGTTTGCTCGGAGTCGTTCGATGGCCTGGGCCTTTTCGTGCTCGGTGAGAAACCGGGCGGATGAGACATCGTTGTCGAGTTTCCAGTACACAAAGGGGGCCGAGACGATGGTGACGAGACCAACGAAGAGGAAGATGCTGCCGGACTCTGTTAGTTTGGAATTTGCCGCTTGAATACAAGGTGACGGCGACACTTACATTTGCCACTCCTTGAGCAAATCCGACTTGATGTGGCCCAGGCCATAGGACAGCGCGGCAGCAACGATGGTTGCCGCCCCGTTGGTGCCGTACCATGCGGCAACTCGAATCGGCTGCTCGGCACGCCTGTACCACTGGCTCGTGATGATGCTGAACAGCGGCAGGCAACCGGCCTCGAAGAGTCCCAGGAAAAAGCGGGCGGCCATGAGACTCCCAAAGTTGTGGCAAGCGGCCATGGCAGCCTGTGCAATGCCCCATCCCAGACAGAGGGTCGGCATCAGGATGCGATGGGGCACCTTGACGATCAGAAACGACGAAAAGGGCTGCCATGCCAGCTGGGCAATGGGGGCCATGGACCCAACCAGCGAGTACTCGTTGCCGGTCAGATGGGTGTCATTCTTGAGTCCGTAGGTCGCGCCGTAGCCAAGCACAGACTTGTCGAGGATCTGCAGGAAGTAGACCCAGACAAGGATGGCCAAGATGACCTTGTCCGTCTTGCGGCGGATGCGGCGACTGTCCTCATCAGTCAGTTCGACCTGCCCGTTGCCAATGAGCGCCAAAGCCCGGTCCGCATGCCTCAGCTGGTCCTGCGGCACGGCACTCTTGGCGCGGTCATCGTCGATGCTGTGCTGGTGCTCCTCGTGAGCAGAGTTCAACTTGGGGTCTGGTTGTGGTGGCATGGTGTTGAACTCGAACTTGGTCACTTGTGCAGGTCCGCCGCCCCGTTGGTATATTGTTTCAATCAGTAGGGAAACAAGGAGAGGCAGATGGGTGACAACCAGTCCCTATCGAGTCTGGACAAGACGGGAGCCGAGCGGCTCTTATATCCTGATGGCGCCGACGGTACTCCGTATATGCGGCATCAACACAGGAGAAAGGCTTGAATCGAGCTGGCGTTTTTCCTCGGAACCTTGGACATTCGACGCCCCCCACATGGCGTGGAGCCCCGGAGTCTTGGGAGGAGTACTGACACTAGGGCGGCTACGGCATCATAGAACGCTTGGAAAAGCCGGCACGCTATTGCAGCCACCAGAAGCTGTTCTGGTGCTCACGGAGGAGGCATCTGGGGAATAGGTGGCCACTTGTCCAACGGTTCACGGTTCAGCTATCAAAAGCCGACGGCCACGTGAGGCATTGACCGTTTTCGATTGCCCCAACATTTGGAAACCCCCCACGCTCTCTCCGCGCCCCAGATGCGCCCCCGGATCTGCCTGTATCTTGGAATTGGCGCTGTTCAAAGTTTGCCGCCCCCCCGAAGTGGCTTTTCTCCAGATCTCAAGAGGCGCCTCGGAATGTCACCCTGAACAATCCATTGATTCAATCGCTGCCCAGATCATCGCTGGGCTTTTCTGGCACCTATTGGTGGCTTTTTTTTCTATTTAAGCGCTTTTTATGCATGTATCAAGTAATTCTGCGGCAATGCTTAGCTTTGCTGTCCGTCGCATCTCCTCATCCCCTCATCTCCCAGCTGGGTAGTGACCTCCCGGCTATTGACCCATCACTTTCTAACCACCGACGCCACGCAACCTTCACGCAGACAGCTCAATAACCGACCGGGCCTGAACGCATTGACCAATGATTCATACATAATTCCATGCCAGCACGGCCAGCGGCTGTTTGGCGTGGCGACGGTCCAGGGTGGAATGGCTGCAACTCCACATTGTCTCCGAGGCCTGGACGCCAAGCTTCCAGGCTGGCAGAGGCGCATAGTACTAGAGTCTGGGGAAGAAGTGTTTTTGTATAGGAGTATCCGAGGCTCCCTGGTCCAACCAGCTGGCTGGCATCAAACCACCCGCCACCACATGATGCGAACAGGCGCCCGGCAGCTGATGAAGCGTCGCTGGACCAACATCAGCCCCCCACCTTATGGCATGATTGTTAGGGACTTGGGATGATCAATAATGTCGGTTACTGACGCGGTTGCTCCAAGTGACGCCATAGCTCTTCCTTAATTTTTACCTTGTACTCTATAGCTCTAGAGCGGCTATTGCTACATGGTGTTACGATGCTTCCTATAACGCAATTGCCATTGAACCTTTTCCTGCCCCGTGATGATCCGGGCGGCATTTGACCTTCTGAGAATACTAAGACCTATATCCGAGCCAAATACATTTATTTCTTATCACAGTTTGTCTCGCACGGCAATTGATTCCGTCTCTCGAGCTTAACATCTCACCATAACTGCCTCGCATTTGCCGTCTAACATCCTAATTCACGTAACGGCTTAGCAACGGCCAGTCAGCCTACGCCGCAACCCTACACAATGCCAAAGCCATCTCCTCGTCAAAAACAATAGCCGGCGTCTAGACACCCTCACAAGTCGCCAAATGACGCCCCTCCGAACCTCAAAGCACACCCACATCCCAAAGGATGTGGAGCCTGTCTCTTTGAACTCAACCCCAAGCCAAGACTCTTAAAACCGACCTTGACACATTCGTAGGCTCGGCGTTCTCGTCCTCCGACACAGAGCATGTCGATCAAGGCGCTGTATGAGAGCATCGGGGGTCACACATGGCGAGGGCATCGACGAAGAGGAGGCACATGGAATTGGAGAAAGTGAAAGGCGCATGCAATAGTTTGTAAGAAAAAAAAAAAGTTTGTGCAATCTAGTCATGTATGTTCTCATAGTCCTAACTCATAACGCATATCCCATAGCGACTGTCTTTACCAAGGAATAAAAGAAATGCAGCTAGAGCTTAATGGTGGGCAAGTCTGACATGTGTACCTTGGCAGCGCCGTACGGAATCAGTCTATACGTCTTCTTCTCTCCAATGCATTTTCTATCAGCCAGGGCCGGTGGCAAGTCCGGAATGGTATCCATGTACAAGTTCCAATTGATCTCGCACCCGTCCACAGTCACGTAATTAGGCGGCTGGCCGTACTCGAAGATGGGGTCAATCAACCCTTTATTGCGAGCGTCGCTGTACTTCAACGTACTAGGGTCAATGGCCACGTTCCAGGGCTGGGTGTTTTTGATGTAGTAGTCGCGGAGTTCTCTGTAGGGCAGGTAGTCCAGCCCTGGGCCCTTGGTATTGCCATAAGCGTGCGGGAAGGATGTGGTATTTGAATATCCAACGTCGAGGGCGTACAGCATGTTGCCGAAAAAGACGGCGACGCTGTCGCCGGGACGCGTCTCGGTACGGACGGCAGCGCTAATGGTGAACCTGACCTTGGAGCCTCCCGCCTTGATCGGAACCTTTTGCATGCCCTTGCCGGTGCCAGTGTTGGTGGTGGAAACCCCAGATGGTGACACAGCCGTGATGGTGTAGCCGGTCGCCCAGCCCGGAACACGGAGGTAGAGGTCGAATTCCCCCTTGGCGTCGATTCTATATACCAGGGTGTCTTCAAACGGGTATGCAGTGTCGCAGGTGATGGTGACGGGGGCCTTATTGACAGTGGTGACTACTTTGGTCGGGCTGAGAAGAGCATGACCGAGGCCATTTTCGCCGATTCTCACCCAGCTGTGCGAGACGAATTTGGGATATCCTTGTCCGTGGTTGACCGTGCAGCATGGGTAGATGGGCTCCATTCCAAACGTCGTCGCGAGGCCGCTGTTGGCAGTCGTGAATACGTTGGGCACGTGTCCGTCTTCCTTGGTTATGTTGATAGCCCACGGCTGATTTGGCTGCGCCATGTACTGGTGCGCCCATTTGCCGCGCGACCTCCTTCTCTCCTCTTCAGTGCCGTCATAGTGGTCGCCCGTCATCATGGCGGGAAAGGCATTGAATATGGTGCGCTCGGCTCTGTCCGCAAAGTCGTTGTCGCCGAGGATCTGGTAGAGATATGCCAAGGAGTAACTGGTTTCAACAGCCGTACACAATTCGCTGCCAGCATAAGGAGCCGAGGTGTGTTGGTGCTCGTCAGCAAGAATGGTCCCAGAAGCCGAACCGTAGTTGGCGAAGGTCCAATCTACGGCTTTATGTGTGATGTCAATCATGGCCTGGCTGCCATTGATGCGGTAAAGGACAGATGATGCCTTGAGACCTAGAGAGGGCCGAGTCAACATCACCAAAGTACCATCGGCCACAGCTGTAATTGATGTGCTCACCTTGTCCAACGTTTACGCCATGAATAAACGGGTGAGAGGAAGAATCTCCCGGATCAGCAGGCTTGACGTTGGCGTAGTAGGCGTCCCAATTGCGTGGGTTCTGGGAATAAAACATGTCCATGTTCTCCCACAGCACCGAGACTTCTTCGGGGGACAATGGATGGTTCTCGAGGAGCCATTGAATAGTGATGATGAGATCGTGGATACGAACCTGGCCCCATGAGCAGTCCACATCGCGGTGGCACCTGGCAAATCCCTCGCTGTTGTTCTTCAGCATCTTGTTTGCCAAGGTCATGAAGCGACGCAGGCCGTCAACAACGGGCTTCTCCCATTTCGCCTTGTCCGCCTCGGCCAGCTGGATCAGACCCAGGAACATGGGAGTTCGTGCCCAGAAGTTCCTAAGGTCTCCAACCTCGGGGCCAATCCAGCCGTCATTGGCCTGGTGTCCAAGAACCTGTGTGGCGACCTGTTCTGCCTGTTCCTTGAGTCTGTGATTGTCAAGAGTGTAAGCCAGGGGCACGACGGAGTTGAACCAATACGGCAGCGCTTCATTGAGGTTGCTGTATTCGACACCACCGGTGCCTGGCGTGTTCAGCCAGCTGGACAAATTCACAAAGATGTAAAAGTCATGCTCATATCCAAACAGGCCATCAGCCATGGCGCGGCTCTCTCCCCACAACCAGCCGCTTGCCTTGATCTCTCCCAGTGGCAGCGGAGCATACTGCCATGGCTGGACTGTACAACAAAGCAGGCAGGTCAGTCAAAGGTGTCGATTCCTTGGAGGAGGGGGAAACTTACGAGATCTCGCGGATGATACTGCGCCAACGAGAGCGCTAAGAGGAAGCTGAGCGGCTATAAATCGTCTCGTCAACCGCATTGTCACCAAAAATTGCTGCTCGGGGGCAGGGAGAAACGGCTGCAACACAAGAAAAGTGACTTGCTTGACATGTTTCAACTCTCCAAGGAAGGATCATCATGGCCGCGGTGATCAACGACTTATATGAGGTGGCACTTACCGTCCATGGTTGCTCCCCCCCCGCTTGAGACGTGCACTCTTTACCTGGTGCAAGTCACAATCCCAGTTCTGAGCCAAGAACATGCCGGTATGCGACCAAAACGACGACCTGGCAAGTAACACAAAAGGGCCGGGTGGTTGGAAATTACAGTCTCATGCGGCAATGAAGCGTGGAAAGGGAGGAATGCAACGAGTGCGCGAATGCACGTCGGCAAAGACCACCAGCGGTGTAACGGACCGAACAGTAAACACCTAGAGCTCCCAAATAAGTCAAGATGCAAAAACTAAGTCAAGGGTCGAGGCGTCGCGTGCGCGTGATGCACTTGGGTTTCCTCGGTGCAACCTCACGGGCCACGGATCGGGCTGAGGAGGAGGCAAAAGCGGTGTTTTAACTCGCCCCCTCAGGAAGTCGGCATGCAGGATTTTCGCCAACCATGTGTGCCAATGCAAGAATAGCTTTTTTGCTGCAAGTGCTCAAGTGTCTTTCTTGTCTTGGTGATCTGTTCATGCGGGGGAGAACCCTGTCCCCTGACCAAGACGGAGCGGGAGTGACCAAAAAACTGTGCCAGTTGACCCGGCTCATCTCCACGATGCAAGGCTGGCCGACGGAGCCAATCACATCGAGACGGCCACGCGCGTAAATTAGACGGTTGGAAAGGGGGTTTCAAGTTTGTGAGACGCGCCATGACCAATGCCAGTACGGAGTAGAACGCCCGAGAAGGGAGAAGGGAAGGGAAAAAAAAAAAGGGACAAGGAGCATGAGAAATTAAAACGCGGCGCCACGGGGGAAGGAGCGGCCCAGATTGCCGACGTCAACTTTGTGTGCATGTACTCCGCACCAAGTCTATAATATGATATATCTCTGTATGCAGTCACTCCATGTCCGTACCAAAAGACTCGACGAGCCAACACTGATCGCCGCTGGCCTGGCCTGGCCATGGCGCGCATCGGGCGATAGACTGGAGAAATAGACCGGTAGAACAGACAAATTCCCTCGCTCGCCCACACGGTACACGTGGCATCGCCATTTCCCAACGACGCTCGCTCCCCGACGTCGAGACAACGGGACATGCTGCCGTCCTGGGCTGCACGATGCGCAGCCTTGGACATCCCCGTGCAAGGTCCACGCAGGTCCAACATGTAATGGTAATGGTATGCAACAGTATGCACGGTAACCTTGCAAGCGGCATGGAGTGCAGTCACGGAGTCGCGGAGGCGCGGAGGTGCGGAGCACCAGCACGGGAATCACGGACTACAAGGACGGCGCAACAATGCATGATCCAGGTGAGTAGGGGCGAGTTGGGGGAGAAATAAACTCGCGTCGCACCGTGCCACCCCAAACAACGGCAATTCCTTGTTCGCCGTGTCACATCTAAATTTGACGTCCGATCGAATCTTGGCGCCGCATGCTCTGTCCATGTAGACTGTTGATGGTGTGTGGTCGGTGCCACGTGCATCTCATTGTGATGCCATTGTTCTGATGATATTGCCTTCGGCCACCGGCCCGAGTCGTCCGACCTCTTTTCCCCTCCAGTCTTCTCGAGGGGGTGAAATCTGGACTGAGCGTAACCTGTACACCAGAGTTTCTGGGTGCATTCGAGAATCGACGACGGCAGCCTGACGCGGGGAAACCTGAACACCTCGAAGCACCTGACCTGTCGCGGATGGCCAAGGCTCAAATGATTCAAATAGGAAGTTCGAATCCTACACATGTTTGTTGAGGGGTCTCGATGGCATCATCTGCTCACCACCGACGCCCGAATCCCTGCACAAGTCAATACCGGAGCAAGTTGTCGGATTGCTGTCATTCCCGGGGCAGCACATGATGACTTCAAAGTTGTACTTTTCCCCTCCACCCTCGTGATGGCGTTTACATGGCTCGAGGGTTGATGCTGGATGCAGCGCCCAATATTCCAAGTTTATGCCTGTTTTAACCCTGGGCGGCAGTGCATGCTAGTTTGATCCGGACAGAACGGCGACTGCTAGAGTTGGATGACGTAGGCTGTGGATGTAGTTGCTCATAGTAGCTAAGGGATAGATGGCAAAGGTGCCTTTGGGGAATTCTGCTATGTTAGACTCAAATACAGCCATGCAATTAGCTTCGGCTCGCACCCAGGAATCCATGACCTGCAAAGTTTCGCTGCGTTGCTGAACACGACCAAAACTGTTTAGAAGCATATAATCATCCAGTCTAAAATCTATACTAGAATCGTTTGTCGACGTGAATCATAGATATCTGCCCTTCTGAAGAGCAGATGGATAACAAAACAACTTGGCTGTAATGAATACGATTAGGCTAGAAACTCTCATGCAAAGGCCCGGCTGGTGATGCAGGCTGGCACTAGCAGGCTCTACTGCTTCTCAGACCACGGAATACTGACGCCAAAATCCTCAGCGACCTTCATTGCCGAGACGACACATCCTTCCAAAAGAACCAAGCCATCCCAGCACCAAGAACCTACAATCCACACGTTGTCCTTTCCGTTCACCCACACATCCTCACTGCCATGTGCCGATGTGTCCTTGCCCATCACCCTTTGCACCATGCTTCTGCTCCGTGTGGTCCGTAATGTTCGAGTGAATTTCGAGGTGTGCAGGCTTCCTTTAGATTCTGCGATGCAAGCGGAAGGGCTTGTCCTGATAACCACTCCGCTGGGCAGGAAATGGAACGACTCGGAGCGGGCAGTGCCGCCATGGAAGGTGGTCCTGAATTCCATAATCTGGGCATCGCCGCCACGATAGGAGCATTCTCCGGACGGCGTTTGTCCTTCGCCGCGGACAAGGGATACGTCCCCAGAAAGCGGGGCGAGGATCGAGCTTGTGACGGGAGCCGTTGGGATCACACCCAGCGTGGATCTGGACGGGCTGAAAATGGTGGCAGCAACGTTTGGAGATACAGCGAGCACCACGCGATCAAATATCTCCTCCAAGGAAGAGGATCTTCCGTCCTCTGTCTGTTCCCAGCGCACGAGCATGCCTTGGTCCACTCGAATGACCTGGGTAACCCGTGCTCCCAGGCGAACGTTTTCGATTCCCCTGGATAGTGTCGATTGCACGCGGTTGACACCGCCCTGAGGAACAAATGTTTTTCGGAAAAAAGACCCCTTTACAAAATCAACAACATCACTTGCTGGGAAATCCATCATTTCAGCGTGGGAGCAACTACATATGATGCTCAGGACGGGGAGGAGATAATACACTGCGTATTGTCGTGGCAGTCGTATCCTTTGTAGATAATGGTGAAAAGTTTCAGAGTCGCTGGATGGCTTCGTATCAGAATCGACGTCCGAGTAATGCTCCGATTGACTCGTCCATGGCTGGAGAAGGAAGCAGGCCATGAAGAACCAGATGTGGCATATCGCCAGATAAAACGTTTGAAGGATCTGCCGCAGGGAGCTGTGCCAGAAATTTGGTGATAGCAGGAGAAGCTCGTGCAGCCTCCTGTTATAGACGAAGTAGGTGCCCGGTATCGTCTCTGCATTTCTTGGTTCGGGTGGTGGCTCATGTTGTGATGTCGTAGAGGCCTTCGTGTAGACCCAGATGAGGCGGATCCGTTGCAAGCCAATGCCTAGGTGCTCGTACATGCGAACAAGGTTGTTGTAGTAGCCTTTGCAAAAGCTGCGGGGTGGAACATCCACGCGCTCATTTTTGCCCGTCTTTGCATTGCTAAGCGTGATTGATGCGGCGTCGAGCGATAGCGTGTCTGCCTACGGGTTGTTAGTACTTCACCGGGACTATTCAATGGGAATGTTGCCATCGACATGATCTGTACTCTGTACCTGTTCAAAAAGAGTCACGCCGTACCGCTTTCGCCCATCATGGTGGACAAGGTAGGCGGTCGTTAGCCCAGCTAATCCAGTCCCAATGATGGCGACGCGACTTCTACGACTCGAGGGATCTATCGCCTCGCCCTGCCGTTGCTTCTGGTTCATATTTCTATCATTCGCAAACTCGGTGTCAGTTGGTATGCAGTCGATGCCTCGCAAGCGTGCAGTCGTATATCGAAGGTGTCTCGGAGCGGCCGGGTTCTGTCTGCACTGCAGGGCAGAAGAAGGGATGAAGGATTGTGTAACTACTAACTCTCTTACTCCGTACTTGGGTAGTCCGCAAGACATCAATTCATCTAGAGGCGTTGGAGCTGTTGTCATGATCTGAAAGACGCCACTGGGTAACGTAATCTGGAGCTGGAGTTGGGATCTCAGGTTGTACGGCGACGCCGTTGTGTTCCAATATTGATTGCATCGTTACGACAACATCTACCCTGTGATAGTATATCATACCAGATAGCGAACCATGCACTATGAGGAGAGTTCTCCACTTTTAGTAGTGCAGCTGGCAGACCTTTGTTCGGGTCAACGTTGACGAGAGATGCCGACTACGATTTCGCCCCATAAAAGAGTGGCAAAAGCACGGGGTGCTATTGGACGAAGGCTGGGTCCTGGAAACCCCCTGCGGCACAATAGACATGCCGACCCGGGAGACGATGGAGCCAAGTGTTGGGCCTTTGTATCCGCCCCTCGGCATCAATTCAATCCGGCCCCCCCAATCGATGGCTGCGACGGGACCGCCCAGCAGCGGGCTTCAATTGGACGGGCTGCGACAGGCCGCTTTTGGTCGTAGTTTATTTTCACTTTTTCTTTTTTTTGGTACCTCTTCTTCAATTCAACATCTGCTACGGCCAACAATCCATCACGATGACTTCCCACATCGGCTCGACTGCCAAGAGCAGCACATGCAAAAGCTACGAGATATTATAATATAATAGGCGTCAGAGGCCAATCATGGTTAAATGCAAGGAACCAGGACGTGAGACCAGCCACAAACGCGGCTGCACTGCACTAGCCTGGCAAGAAGCCCAAACCGCCTCCAAGTTAGAACCTAGAAGCGGCTACCAAGCCGGGCGGTCTGGGGCTTCCTATATATTGTCACTAACATCCAAGCTCGTCGGACGGAGCTCACCTGTAATTTAACTTGGCGGGCGCCAGCCAGCTGTCCGTCGTAATGATAGTGGCGACAGTAGCTTTGGTATATATTCAAATACTTGGACTTATTTCTTCTTTCCCGGTAACAGTGCGTCTTTACAATGTTGCAGTTATATACTCAAATGTTGTGTAGTCTTTTCTGAATCAGGAATTTTATATTCTTCCCCAGAGACATCCCTGGTTGTTTCGGTCCTAGTTGGCGGATAAACGCCACTTAAGTATAGCTTCTCGGACTCTGCGTCTAACTAACAAAGCTAGACTTCGCCCTTGGAACTTTGCTAGAGCATCCGGAGCTCAAACCGCCTTCCTTCCTTGCAAGCCAGGCCGTAGTTTAAATTTCGGTATGCACCTGCCCTCGGGACGTTCCGTGCCGTCGATAATGCTTAGCGCCATCTCATCATTGGACAAATTGTCAGGGAATTTGCTTACTGTGGGGGGAAGCATGCAGACCTCGCTGCCAATCAGCCCCGGAGAGTCGTCCCTTTATCGTACAACCCAACCCCTGTAAGTTTAGCCATGAGTGACCTGACAGGGAAGTTAGTGGGGGTTATCTACGGGGACTTTTCTGTTAACAGGAGCTCTTTTTATTTACATTAGTGGCTGTTAGTGATAAGAGATTTTATCGCGTTATGAGGCTTGCCGTATCTAGGCGCAACATCTTCCAAGTTTATACCTCGAATTTACGTTGTGTCCAAGACCCGCCTACGACATCTTACACAGCCGGCCTCAACCACTTGTTTGACAGCCCGGCTTGGGGCTACGTAGCAGACATGTCCAACTCCTTCTCACCAAGAGACTTTATACTCGGCATTGTTGTCGGCTTCCTCATCGCGGTTGCTCTTATATCCATCGGCACATTCACGTTACTCCGCACAAGCGACATCTACTCACTCGGGCACTGGAAACTGAACCTCAGGACCCCCTTTCGGTCAATGTGGATGAATTTAGGTTTCTGGTCAGACCACCAACTCGGCGTAATGGCTGCCCTCATTTTGTATACGGTGCAAAATTCTCACGCTGGCTAGGAAAACGGATGACGGAAAGCCGATAGAGCATTTTGACGAAGCGACGCACACCCTGTTGGAGCGGATCCTAGAAGTGGCGGGACTCTGTGCAAAAGACGACTCTCCGATCAAGAGTGATTCCGTTGCGGTGCTCGACCTGGGCTTTGGGTGCGGCGACCAGACCATCGCAATGGCTAAACTGATCCGCGCTGAGAAGAGGTCGCACTTCCGGTACGTGGGACTCACGCTGGATGAGGCGCAGCTTCGGACTGCGCGGAGGACAGTCGACAGAGCCCTTGCATTGGGCCATGACGGAGAGGCAGCCGGATTGTCCCAAGGCTCGTTCAGATTGTTCCGCGCAAATGCAGCCAAGCCCGAAACATGGAGTAGGACTATACGCTCGTCGGTGGATGCTTTGGCAGATGAGACCTTCTCTGAGCGCTGGCTCATGGCGCTGGATTGTCTGTATCACTTCTCACCTTCTAGGAAGCCCATCTTTAGCCTTGCGGGCAAGGCTTTAAACGCACATGTTATGGCTTTCGACTTGATTCTAGATGAAGAGGCATCGAGCTGGAACACCATGTTGGTGAGGCTTGTCGGGTTAGTCATGGGATGCCCCCTGTACACGTTTCTTACAGGGGCGCAGTACCGGGAGCAACTGATTGAGTGTGGTTACGACGGAGAACACATTGAGATTCGGGATATTTCGGATCATGTGTTTGCCGGCGTGTCCGGGTATCTGAAAAGACAGGAAGCTGCCCTAGGCCAGTATGGTATATCCCTGGGAGGCTACAAGTTGGCTGGGAGGCTGTTCGAGTGGTTTGATAGAACTAGAGTGGTGAAGGCAGCCATTGTGGTTGGGCGGACAAAGGGGACCAGCTGAGCACATTTGACATGTTCTTGAACAGAACGCCGTGTGTCCTGGTCAACACTTATGGCCGACTCCTTTTTGGGTCTATTTGAGGTGGAATGAGACAGGGACACTCTGTGGTCTTTGGTGGTGAACCGGCATTGTGCTCTTTTAGCACCTCCATTCTGTTTGTTGGATTCGGTTGAGCATTCGTGGCATGTTCCTCGGGTCGCATGACGTTAGGCACCCGAGGTCCTTTCAAGTCTCTTTCTGGTGTCCCTGACAGACCCGCGTGCTCCCAATCTTATGTCTGCGTCAGGATGCAATTCATGGAAATGGATGCCATATTGGATGCTTCCACAAGAGGGATGGAGCGTGGCGTAGCATACAGCATGCAATATATGCAGATAGCTCGACAGAAACCATGGCTGACACTCAACAGCTAGGAGGCAACACGCTGACGACCAGTTGTGCTCTCAGTACATACTATATGCAGCTTGTGCCTGATAGCCTGGGTCCCCCCCCTGCGCTCTTTCGTGCAGGTTTCCCGCGGCCTGTGCCGAGAGGTCTTAAGCCCAACTTGCCAAAGCTTTGGATCCTATTTCGAGGTTAGATTAGGAGAAGTAAATGTGGACGTGGTACGTTGCCGACCTGGTCATCATTTGAGTGGTGTGTGTAAAAGTAACTCTCCATCATCTTAGGACCGTCAGTGACAGATTGCCACGAAGGGGTAATCAAATTCCTCCCATATGGCTCTTAGCTATTCAAGAAGAAAGGTGCCAATTTCCATGTTACCACACAATATGCATGTTGATGAGCCTCCCATGATTGGCACCTACATCGTCCAGACGCTGTAATGGATTGTGAGTGTGGTGGAACATCTCTCTTGAAGGAAAGGTGCCTGTTGATCACTGCTAGCAGCAGTGAAAATCCATGCTGATGTAACGGCTCAGTTTAGACTACTTTTTCTCAAGCTGTGGTGGTTGAATTCTAATTGCCCAGTAGCTGCTTGTGTGGCCCGATGCAATGACATACACCATCTCGAGATATTTTCTATAGCGGATTCCCCAGATAATCCTTCATGATTTGATCGCTTCCCACGCAGCACACCACACTATCTGTCTCAAGTATTGAGACGCAATTAGAATGCCATAGTGTTTTCCGTCCTTATCGCTGCTCAGATTTGCTGAGTGACATAATTTCGACCTCAGTAATTATAAAACATGGTGAGCGTAAAGACAGTTTCCACTTAGTTGTGCTGAAAGTTACCCGTAGAGTGTCCGACGATGATGTCTTCGGTCTCAGCTGTAACTCACTTCATCAGGATGTATCCCCGATTATCCTCGTACTGGTTGACAAATGGCCTGGGCAGTGGCGCTGTGTCAGCATTTGCAAGGGCCTGGCAACTCAGTCACGAAAGGATCAGCGCAGCTGGGAAGCCAAGAGTATGGTTAAACGCTCGAGTGCTCCCGTCCGTGTACTATGCCTAAGCGACTATGCCGTGATCAAGGCGTCCGGCCCTCGAAACTACTGGCAGGCATACATATGTCGACCAGGTTTAGAGCTATTATAGCCATAATCCACACACCATCGACACTCAAGCTTCAGCGGACAAGGTCATCTGCCGCTTGCACGGAACTCAAAAATCTTGCAACAGCGATAACATGTCACGTGTGACGTAACAAACCCACAGCCAGAGACGCTTGCGGCTGCAACAGTGATCCCTTTAGAAAATTGGGAGTGAGATAATGGCGTCCACTTTGCCGTCCTTGCTCCAATCTCTGCGGAGCATTTCATCATTCAACTGTGCTTATAAAGGCGGGGATGTTCAACCAAGTTTTCCTGCTCCCAGGTGCTACAAAGCTGAACAACTACAGCCGGGTCGCCCGTGACCATAGTTTTCTTCAAACGATGACGTCAACCGCAGTGGCGGGTTGGTTTCGTCTGGAGTCCAAACGTTTTGACAGCGTTGGCGCTCCACCTTCATGGCCAAAAATAGGTATTTCATATCTCGTTGTAAATTCACACCGTGGTTCGTTATGATTTTCTGGTATGGTAGCGTCGCGTTCAGATCAAACGGGGGTGTCCAAAACGCACTTGGTCCCTTTATACATTAGGCCTCGGATAGCCTGCAAATGGTTTCATGGTTGCGAGGGAATGTAATTTGTTCATTTCCCTAGATATTACCCAAACCCATAATCTGAGTTTCCACATAGAAGTTAGCCAGCCAGCATCGCAGGTATAGATCAGTGGACGTAGACCATCTGTTCAAGCGTTTCCTGCTACTGAGGGTAACACAGCTGTTGGTTTCATTGTGCCCAAGCAAATATGAAGTGTTGAACAACGCCTGCCTGTCCCTCCTTCATTACCTAGGTAGGCAAGGGTTGGCGTGATACACATGTTGGACTGTTGGACGGAGCCAATCATTTCCGGTGTCTGGTCTCAATCTGGGACGAGGAGGATGTAAAATGGTGTGGTGGGATGAACCGTAGTACAATCATTCCGTCCGTGAAATCACCCGTATCCAGGGGTAATAATGGCCAATTTGAGAATGAGCTGCGCCTCGTATCATCATATACCTGAGAGGGGTTGGAAAGGGGAGACATCTGGACCTTCATATGCTCGCTGGAAAGAGCGCATGGGTGTGGGTGGTCGGTCACTGGTGGCAGCCGGCCAGCATGGTCTGAACTCCGTGGTGGAAGGAGCGACTGAGTGGAGCAGGGAACAAACTTCCCTTGCTTCGCGGGTTCTCTTTTCCTTGTCCAATGCACCAGTCCAAGCCTTCTGGGATCTCCTTGGCAATGGACTTGCATACGAGGAGCGCTTTGTTCCATCTAGCCTGCGCCTCAATCAAGATGATGCGCCATGAGATTGCACTTCCCGGTTGTTCCACACTGACCTTGGGGCATGGCAACGGGACGATCTACGGAGTACTCTGTACACATTAGGTTGATGGAGTGCGCAGGTCCGCAACCCCAGGACCATGTCCTAGGCAACCCAGCGGCAAATGCGAATTGTGGTGAGTTTGACAAGACAATGGCGTTTCCCATTTCTTTTGCTGTATCTCTGGCGATAAAAGAGAAGCCTCCAAGTCGATTGGAATACGATATCGAGAAGCTTTTGTCCGAGTGGCGGGACGCGCGTCAAAGCCTAGGGCCCCAATTTGCCCCTTTTGCAGATCACGCCGCTCAGTGCTCTCTTCCGGTAAGTACATCTACAATAGATAGTGCTGCAAAAGACGCGACGATCTCATGCCTGTTCATCCGTGTCTAGTCTGGCGCTGGATCTTCGGGAGTGTTTGGGGTCTCATGCCGCGAAACAGTAGTCCGTATCCCTTGCGGAGTACTTTGTCGACGTCGCTGTGGAATCATTATGGATCAGTGGCTCCGTACGAGGCTCGTAAAACGGTGGCCATTGAATGCACTCGATACCGGACTCGGCGCTGCGGACGCAAACTAAAAAAAAAAAAGAGAAGAAGAAGAGAAAGACAGGAAGGGGCGGACAAGACTGAGGTTGGCTGCTCAAGCGCTTCCAGGCGAAGTTGCAAAACACATTCTGGGCCACGGCAACCAGTGGTTGCGAGTCATCCGGGTTCATGCCAGACGGTCGCAACGCTTGCACAGCCAACATTCGAAGTCGCGGCCACACCCAACCCACTGGGGCATTACACTTGGCGCCATATGTGGTTGCATTCAGCCAATATAACTATATGCGTATAACGGCAAAACGTTGAGCCCAGACCCCACCATGGTATGGCCACCTGCGACGCATTCAGTATATTTCGCAAAGAAGGCTTGCCTGCGATGGAGACAACAGCCTCCAGTCCACTGAACAACTCGAGCGGGTGCCCTGCTCCTGTCAATCGGCGCTCCATGTTGACCCAACAGTGGACTATTCGCTAAAAACAGCAGCTCACAAGCATCACCAGACTGGACCAGACCAGACCAGACCAGTTGACCCCAGTGCCGTTGGCATGTGGCGGTTACAGGGGGGTGGGCCCCCCTGTCACTCAACTGGAGATGGGCCACTGTTGCTCCATGGTCGACGAATGCGAATCTACGGGCCCCTGAGCCTGTGCCTGGCCTAGGATAACTTAAACGTTGAGCTTCCTTGCACAAAGCTGCAGAAAGCCGCCATTCAGAATGCGCCTTTGTCCCCGCTCCCCTGCAAACCCAGCCATCAAAGGCATTGCATCTGGCCGTTGATGCCCTTTTTGCATGTCCATGTCTATTATATGCATGCTCCGGTGTACCGGACAATAGCACCTTATACTGTGCCGTGCAATAAGGACATGTAGCATCTTTGATGTTTCCGCCTTCCTGCTCCTTTTATCCTGCCTCCTTGCCGCCACCCGCCACCACCCGCCACCACCCCCGACCTAACGCCTAACCCGGCGCC